TTTCAAGAGTATTGTAATAAAATGGGAGACTTCATGTGTAGTTGTTGTATTACTATGATGATATTTGTGAATATTGTGAAAATCATTCACATTAAGAATAACTAAGCTTTTGATCTGTTAAAAGATTACATATATACAGTCAGATTAGTTACCAATTTAAAAAAAAATAAATGTTTAATACTTACATTTTCTGATAAAACCTTTCCACCATTACTATATGAGCTTCTACATACCAAATTTTCTGCTTTGTAATAGTTTTATACCTTACTGTTAAATTTGCATCAGCTAAGGTATCTATTACTGATAAAGATACTCTAAATGCATCTAGTAAAAATCCAACATCTACCTTTAACTCCATTAATAAATTTATTATTAAGGCCCACTAGAAAATAGCAAAACAAAACTAATCTTTTCTTATTTTTCTCATTAATCATATAATTCTTGGCTTGTGGGTTAGTTTTGATTACTAATTGATTAAAAAAGCCTTTTAATGATGGTTCAGCTTTCTCAAGCATTTTCTTGAACTCTTCCAGATTAAGAATGGGTCTTTCATTATATATACGTTGCCTTATATATAACACCCCTGCATTGATTTAATTTTTTTACTGAGAGGAATCAACTCTAAAGGATAATTATTATATAATGTAATTTAAGTTTCATATGTTAATCTGCTAATCTGTTATAACGGTTGTTAATAAAACAATCGAGAACCCAATAACAAATAAAATATTGTTTGCTTATCTAGCTTTGCTTCATCGAGCTCTACATATACTTCATGATATATGAACTTTAATTCTTAAAATTCAGATTAAGAGTAAATAATATCATTTCGTAAAATATATGATCTACCTTAAAATTTTGTTATTTTCTCTTTTAAAATTCTTTCTGGTAATGATGGATAATTAGATAAGTTAATATATTCTAAATCATTATCAGTTTTATATAAACAATAGCAATATATCCATGCCTCTTGTGGTAATTTAAAGAATTTGATCAATCATTCTGGAGCCTTCTTGATATTCTTTATTTCTATATCATGTCAAGCTGTAGAAATATAGATCTGATGCTTTAGATGTGAACATACATTGTTAACTTTAGATTTTTTTGCATTTACTATGAATTTATTGTAATATTTTCAGCACAAAGCCTTGCCAACCAAATTCAAATATTAACTTAAACTTGGTATCATTACTTTATCAGATATAATAGATGTATTATACTGTTCATAATCACAGACGATATCCTTCTAGCCCTCTAAATCACAATGTCAAGTCTTTCTTTTTTCTTTTTCTCACTGAGAAGGGCTAAATCTTCATGACAGATTTCTTGTGTAAACATTTTGTTTTGTATTTCTTTTTTTCTTTGTATTTATTGTAACAGAATAAAATAATCGCTTCTTAGCTAGTTTCTGAATTATCTCACCATTTCTTGAATTATTTTAACAGTATATAAAACAGAAGGTATTTTAGATTTTTTTGTCATACCTTCTGCCAATTTATTTATGTGGCTACCAATCCATTTAAAGTTAGTTGATCATCATTTTTATAGGAATTTACTATGTAACAATCATTTTAAAAATCAACCAATCAAATTTAAGTCTGCTATGCTAATCTTACCCCGTATTAGCATATTTTGATAAACTGTTTATTGCATCACATATTTTTAATTTTACAAAAAAAATACCAAATATACTGATGATGTAAAAAATGTATCAATAATTACCTTCAAAAAGGTGAGTTTGTTGTATTTGATCTCATTAGGTTAGAAGATAATCCTCTTATAATCTGCCTAAGGTTTGACACTTTACTAAACTTGCAAAAGGAAATAGAGGCTAGGCAGAAGCACAAGAAAAAAAACATCTTAGTTAATGAGTAGAATTTATCTTCATAAATACTAAATTGGAATGGGAGAACTGGTTATTAATATTAATTCTCAAAAAGCTCATAATTTAGATCAGCATCTTGTCTTGCAAAAACTATATTATTGTTCTAAAGGTCTGTATTAAAATGCTAAGAGATTATGGGATGTTTATAAAAAAGCCAGCTACAGCTTTCCATTTGTTGATATAAAAAAATAGCTTGATAGACAAGCAATATACTAAATTTTTTGTTCTTTACCAAAGCATATACCTTATGCTAGTTACTCTAAAATCACAAAACTAAATACTGTGTACTAATATGATTTGATCAAAATACTATATGATGATATAGATACAAATTTATTAGATGATGGCCCAATATTTTATTATGTATTATTAGTTATAGACTGCGTGACTAGATTTAAAGATTTTGATTTTTAACATTAAAAAGTAGTGAAGAAGTCACGAAAGCATTTAAAAGTATATATGATAATTCTGATAAGCCTCTTAATTGGCCTCAAAAATTACAATGTGATAAAGGTACTGAGTTTATGGGATATGTGACTTTATTAATAAATAAATATGATGTTGAAATCTGAAGGATTATAGCATATTTCAGATATACAAGCTTGGCTATGGTTGACCGTTATGCTGGATTATTTGAATTAAGAGTTTTTAAAAATCAGTATTTAGTAGAGTTTCTCCTGCTTACTAGTAAACGCTATAGAGAATGTGAGTGGTTTGCAAGAAAAATTGTTGATAATATGAATAATAGCCCAACTTGATTAATTAGAATAAATCCTAATAATACCATAAAACTTGAGCGAATATATTCTAAACTATTGGTAAAATATAATCACCCAATAATTGTTGATAAATTACAACTACCAAAGGGTATTACTATCTGATTTTTACTCATTCCTGAAGAGTAGGAAAATGATCCTTTTGAATGACGTAGAATAACTGATCTGATACAGTCTCTTAGCCTGCATAAGATTCAGAAAATTGTTATTGAAAAGAATTTTTCAAAGCCTATTTTATATTATTTAGATGAATTAGGGCCTCAACAACTCTTTATAAGAGAACAGTTAATACATATTAAAGAAGAACCTATGTTGCCTTCTAGGTGAGTATTGGGAGATAACCAAATACGTACAAGGCACACCTTATAAAAGTTTCTAAGTCTACTATGTAGTAGGATATAGTTATAAGAATTACTTCTTTCCTATAACATAGCGCTAATGTATAAAATTCACATACACAATGTACACATATGCACATTAAATTTTTATGTGCACATATTACATAACATAAAATGTTCATAAATAATTACTAAAAATAGATAAATTATATATATATTATAAAAATAGAAATACTATGTAATATATGCATTAATTTTTTATTTTTAGTACAACTTGTGCATATGACTTTTAGTCTAAATTTTATACACTGCATAGTGTCCTCTTTTTCTAATCATGTCAGATTTGTGCATCTAGATTCATCTACCCTTGTGGATAAAAAAAAGGATAATTTGGTAATATTGGCTACTACTATATTTAAAGGCCAAGCCTAATTCTTCATTATAACTATCTAGATATAATCCTTCTAAGAATTTAGGCTTTCAGAGTGGAAATTTTTTATGTAATAAATTTTCAAATATATATTAGCATATTCTTTTTCATATATTAGGATAAATATTACACTATCTATAATTCTGTTTTATATTTTTATATGACGCCTCTTACTGATGACTCTTTTACATGATCATAAATATGTATTAGGGCTAACTTTGCCTAAACATTTTCCTTCAAGTCTCTAGCATATTCTAAAGCTTTGGTGTCAATTTCATTTTATATTTTATAGATGCAATAGCATAGTGGGCTTAAATTTGATTAATTGATCTTTAAAATAATCGTCATATAGTAAATTCTTATAAAAATGATGATCATCTAACTTTAAATAAATTAGTAGCTATATAAGTGAATTGGCAGAAGGTGTGACAAAAAATTATAAAATATACCTTTTGTTTATATACTGTTAAAATAATTCAAGAAACAGTGAGATAATTCAGAAACTATTTAAGAAGTAATTATTTTATTCTATTATAACAAATATAAAGAAAAAAAGAAATACAAAATAAAATGTCTACACAAGAAATTCACTATAAAGATCCAGCCCTTTCTAGTAAAAAAAAGGAAAAAAGAAAGACTCGATATTGTGATTTACAGTAGTGACGGAAAAAACTGGCAGTAAATGAAAATTCATTTACTTGATCAATATTTATTAAAATCATTCGAAACTTAAAATATAAATAAACTAATACCACATTTTTTATATATTAAAATTTTAATATTGAATTACATTGCCATTCCTTTCAATTACCAAATTTACCCTCCTTTCCATAATATTGACTAAATTAAGGCAGAGGTTTTGATCGATATTGAACCATTCGCCCTTAATAATTTCCATAAAAATCCTTTGTGTAACCAGTTTTTTTTACTAATTCGTTTATTGATCTTTTTTTCCACCCTTTTCTTGATAATCGCTCACAAATTTTCTATTAGATTCAGATCTGAGGAATATGACGGTCAATCGAGAATCACAGGATATCGATTTTTGAGAAGAGACACCGTAAGCTTGGCTTTGTGCTTCAGATCATTGTCTTGTTGGAATGTCCAAGACCCTCCAAGAAACTGATATGCTTGATCAAAAAGATTATTTGTTAAAATTTCACGGTACAACTCCCCATTCATGTTTTTAGTAAACATGTGAAACCAAACAATTCCTTGTAAACAAAAAGCCTCCAAACATGAACTTTGAATGGGTGTTTGACAACTCCACAAGTTGGTTTTTCTTCACCTTCTTTATAACGAACTAAGGTGGTGTTACAGAACATTTGAAAGGTCGTTTCATCAAAAAAAACTATATTTTTCCAATTTTATTTTTATGAACTTCTGCTCAAGAAACTCGTCTCTTTTTTGCAATTGAAGTGAGGAATGGGTTTTTTTAGGAACACAAACTCGGTAACCAAACTTCCAAAGGTTCTCACAGACTATACGAGTGGCTATATTAAGACTGAGTAAGTATTATTAAGAGTGTCTGCAATTTCAAAACTTGTTGCACCAGCATGCAAACGAGCGAGCTAACCAAGGTGATGCTGCTTTTTTAGACTTAAAACCTTTGAGCGTTCTGGACGACATCGTTGCTTTAAATTTTTGGATTTTTTTAACTGAGATAACCACCGATACAGTGTCTTTAGTGGGAACTTAGTAATTTTGTGTAGTTCATTTACATTTCGTGTTTCATTATTCCATAACGATTTAACTACCTCACATCATCTTTAATAGAAATTTTTTGCGGCATTATTACATCATATCAGTCATGAGGCACTCTTGTATTCAGTTTTTTTATGCATGTTGATCAGTGTAATATAATAAATAACCAAACAAAAAATTGGTTTGTGTTGTCCAATTAGATATGATGTAAATCATTATTTTAATCACATGATCGTGACTGCCAATTTTTTCCGCCACTACTGTAAAAGGTCAGGAGGATGTCGTCTGTAATTATAAATAGCATGGCATATCTATCGTATCTGATAAAGTAATGATACTAAGTTCAAGTCAATATTTGGACTTAGTTAGTAAGGCTTTGTGCCAAAAACATTACAATAATTTAATAGTAAATGCAAAAAAATCTAAAGCTAACAATGTATGTTCATATCTAAAGCATCAAATCTATATTTTTACAGCTCAACATAGTACAGGAACAAAGAATATCAAGAAGGCTCCAGAATGATTAATCAAATTTTTTGAACTACCACAAAAGGTATGGATGTGTTGCCATTGTTTATATAAAACTGATAATGATTCAGAATATATTAACTCATCTAATTATTCACCACCACTAGAAAGAATTTTAAAAGAGAAAATAATAAAATTTCAAGGTAGATTGTATGTTTTACGAAATGATATTATTTATTCTCAATCTGAATTTCAGGAACTGAAGTCTGTATATCACGAAGTATGTGCAGAGCTTGACAAAGCAAAGCTAGATAAACAAATAATATTTTATTTATTATTGGATTCTCAATTGTTTTATTAATAACCATTATGACAGATTAGTAGATTAACATATGAAACTTAAATTACATTATATTATAATTATCCTTTAGAGTTGATTCCTCTCAGTAAAAAAATTAAATTAATGTGAAGGTATTATACACAAAGTAACGTGTATATAATAAAAGACCTATTCTCAATTTAGAAGAGTTCAAGAAAATGCTTGAAAAAGCTGAACTGTCATTAAAAGGCTCTTTTAATAAATTAGTAATCGAAATTAACTTACAAGCTAAGAACCATATGGGTAGATTGCTAGGAAAATCAGGTTCTGGGAATTTTTTAGTAAAATTGAGATTTTTATTGCATTTTAGTTTTTAATGTAATTAGATTAAAATGTATTAAGCTCTTAATTTTAGTTAAAAATTTCTCAGAACCTGATTTTCCTAAAAACACTTCTATATGACTAACGAGAAAAATAAGAAAATATTGATTTCGTTTTACTATTTTCTAGCAGGTCTCAATAATAAATTTATTAATAAAGTTAAGACGGATGTTAAGTTTATACTAGATGCATCTGGAGCATCTTCATCAGCAATAGATACCTTAGCTGATGCAGGTTTAACAATAAGGTATGAATCTATTACAAAGCAGAAAATTTAGCATGTAGAAGCTTATAAGTAATGGTAGAAAAGTTTTTATCAGAAAACATAGGTATTAAACATTTATATTTTTTAAATTGGTAACTAATCTGACTGTATATATGTAATTTTTTAACAGACCAAAAGCTTAATTATTCTCAATATAAACGATTTTTACAATATTTACAAATATCATCATAGTAATACAATAATTACATATGAAGTCTCCTATTTTATTACAATATTCTTGAAAGCCTTACCAGAAATGCCATATATTCTATTTAATAATCCTAACTAAGAAAAAAGTATTCATAAAGAAAAATGTGTTGATTCAGATATTGTTATAAAGAATGCATATTCATCTTTCTTTTCTTATTTATGGCTAAGTTATGTAGAACAAAAGCAAATATTTGCTGACTTAATGTCTACACTAGAAACTCATGATAAGCGAGTTGAATGTCTCTTAATTTATAGCTACGATGATAGGATTAAATAATGTCAGACCGATTGAAACATAAAAATTATGAAACTTGTTAATCTAAAAGAAAGTTCTTTTCATTTAACTGAAGACTATGTAAACACTTTTAGATGCTTGATGAATACACTTGAAGCAAGAACTTATATAGAGACATATGTTTAGTAGCACCTATGGATTATTCTGAAAAATTTTATATGCGACACACTATTACCTATCATATTAAATCTGAAGATTCTTCCAGAATATTAGAGTAAATTTTGCATATTTTCTCAATGATCGAACCTTTGCATGTATTTTAAATAGTTGTCAAACAGTTTTTCTTTTAAATTATCATTTTTTTAATTTGCTTTTTCATGAAGTGTTTGAATATAATAAGGTGTTGGCAAAAAAACCAAAACCTTATAAAATCAATTTGATATTAGAAATAACGTTTCAAGACTAGTCTTAAGTATGTTTTATAATTATACGAAAATTTGAACATTCTAAGAATCTGGAAGCAAGATATTTTATCAATTTATTGGATAACATTATCCCATTGGTTTTGGATTTTTATCTCATTATATTTTGCAGTGGAGATTGGCAAGCATACATAAAAGCGATATTTTGAATATAGACTGTTTTTTATCAATATCAATGCAGATACTATAACAAATTGCCATTAATGTTTTTAAGTGATGTTTTTTATTAAACTAATACAAATCATCTTATTTTAAGATCTCTTACAGATTTCATTCACATTTTTAATAATTATTTTGTAGAAAATTTTCACAGCTCACTTTGACAGCAAATATAGAAATCAAATACAGTAGAGCAGATTATTTGAGAAGCATGAATAATCGATCAGATGCGTGGTAGCAATTCCTTAATGAAAATGTTTTCTGAGAATCATAATATTAGATATTCAGTAAAATAGTTAGAATATCTTGAAAAACGTACTTTAATTTTTCTTTTAAATCTTTTTACGAATATCTATCAGAATTTTGGTAAGTCAAAAGCTATTTTATCTAACACACGTTTAAAATCTAAAATATATGAGCTTTTAAGACTTGGAGTTCAAGTTGATGTAAAAATATTATCAATGGCTTAGAATATGACATATTTTTTTTATTTAAACTAAGAAGTCAATTCCAATATTGTATTGAGTATCTTATAAGTGAAATTGAAACAAATTGTAAAGCTTTTCAAAAATCTTTGAATTCTTTGAGTACATGAACAAAAGATGAGAGGATAGATGAAATGAATATTGATGAAACTAGTGATGATACTAATACTAGTGATGAGGGTTTTTTATTCGATGGAAATATAGATCTTAATAATGTGGATTTACTTTTTAAGAAGGCCATGAATGCTTTAACAAATGCATAATTTGAAGCTTTAGTTACTGGTCAGATATAAGTGTAATTTGCAATTCAATAAAATTAAAAAATTTTTATAAATAAAAAAATTATTTAATACTTTTTTATTTGGGTTAAATTATATTTAATTTACATTTTAATTTATTTCATTTGTATTTTAACTATTTTTTGATTAACTATCTTTTGGTTAACTATTTTAATTAATCATTATGAAATCACATGATCTATCACATGATCTTGTCAACCAATAAAAATAAAAAATGATCCCAATCATAACTATGCTGATGGGATTGCTGATCCGCCGATCATTAGAAATATTGCGGTGATAGGACGCGTAAGAATTATTTCTACATAACTTTTACATTTTTAGCCGTATCTATCTATGACTGAGAATCTACATTGTGGAGTGCCTATTTTGATGAAACACTATAGCTTTATAGGGTTTTATGAACACAGGAAGAGACAACCGGACTTTACTTTCTCTTTTCGAAAGGAGTCGCACAAAATTAAAAAAGATCTCGCTAGCCTAATAAAGGATGGTTCAGCTGAAATAAAGAATGTTGCTAGACAGTTGGACGATATTTATAAGGCAAAGCTTTTCAGTTTTTCAAACATATTTTTGCATTGCCGGCTGGCTTAAGGGAGGCTGAACAAGATTTTAGTGACCATTCTGCGCGCTGGCCACCTACTATCTTGTCCTATTTGTACTGCACGTTGAGGTTGAATGACCTCTCTTGCGGGAGGGAACCCGCACAACTAAGGGTGATATTCTGCGTGCTAACACCTTATGGTCTGCGTGCCCGTTGTGTTTGTCTCCGGCAATGCCTTTTCTCTATGAAAGCGGTTTACTAATTTCAAGCAATTATAGGGGCATCGCAAATATTTCATAGACGTTGACATGCTCTGGAATCAAATCGAGAGACGCCATGCTGAGGTTTTATTTAATAAATTTTCTGTTATAAACAAACTCCTGCTCATGAATTTTTTCAATTGTAGGCTGAGGCCTCTAGCTCAGTTATACAAGATATTACTGAAGTCTTCAAAAATTCCATTGCAAGTGTCAATTCCTCCATCAAGAACGTTAATGACACAATGGTATGCAATGGAAATTATTGTTTTTTTTGTTTCATATGTTTAGATTATATAAATTGACACATTTTGTCAGATTAAATACAATGAAGAACTTAAGTGTGATAAGAGTGCCTTAGGAAAAAGACGAAATTCCGAAGATTATGAGGAAAATCGAATTTCAAAAAAGCCACAAGTGCGCCGCTCAAAGATCTCAAAACAATGAGAGAGAATCTCCGGCAAATATTAAAAGAATATAGTTCTAAAGGTATATTCAATTGTGACGAAACAGGACTGTTTTAGAAGATGAAACCATGTAGCGTCAGAATAAATATATCATACCACCGCCACGACCCAACTCAAAACCAGATAGTGACACTGAAGATCATGAAAAAGAGATTTCGGCAGGGAGGGTTGGTACTTTGATATTTTTCCTATCGTTATATCTTTTTTTGTGCTTACCTAATATCATCCTTCAGACTTTGACTGATCCCGTTGTAAGTTGGACTTTATCAACCGGAAAAAACGTTGATGAGATATTATCTGCATATCGGGAGAAAATTCCTCGTACAAAGGCATATCTATAGTGAATTACGCTTTGCAAACATATTTTTAGCGTCAACGTCCAGATATATTATTGACCGAATGTTGTTTATAGCCCGGCCTATTTCGGTATTTTAGACCTTTCTGGAGAAGATGTTGAAGTAAAGGATTTGTTCACGGACGATGAATGGAATGAAATGATCGAGGATTTCGTGAATAACGTTAATTTAAGCGATTTGGACGTCAGACAGGAGGGGCCTATCTATGAAATAATGGACAAGATAACAGAGGTTAGGACCAAAATTTATATTATTTATCTTTCATTTAACGTGTTAGCTAAGTACAACGCTTCTTATATTAGAAATTGAAGAAGGAACCATCCGATTTAATATCTGAAATTGAAAGTTGTGTAATTGAAGTACGTATTTCACTTGTATTGATTTCTTATAAAGTACAGGCTCTAATGACCATCATTTGTAGGATAATACGAAAGTAAATGTAATTCGGCGCCTGAACTATTCTATAAAGTTATATTTACAATAAAACTTTGAATACCATTCAAAAACATGTCCTAATTTAATAATTTCTTCTTCTAATGCTGACTATTGTTTAAGAAAGTTGGATTGTAAAGATATTATTCGTTATACATAACAATTTTATCTTATTAAATCATTATCAATATCCTTATTAAAACATTTTTTGCATATTAAATTAATTCTTTTCTTAGGTTAAAGATTATATTTCTCAAAAACGTTTTTTATTCCTTCAGTTTTTCTCTTAGATTTTCTACTAGATAATTATTTAAAAATATTATAGACTGTTTACATTTACTTCTATATTTATTAATATACCACCTGTCATATATTTTAGATTATTTTCTTTCAGATTTTAAATTTATTTTTGTTATAATCAATCTATTCTCTACCATAACATTATGATTAGTTAACTGATTAAAACAAAAAAATGCTAATTATTTTTTGTATAAACTATATTATAAAGGTAAGCTAGAATAATTTTGCATTTAAAATTTTTTTTTTATCATAAAAAAAATTAACTAAACCTGTTCTATTATATATTTACTATAAATATATTTATTTTATAATAATTTTATATATAATATTAAAATTTTCTTTATTTATTATTTTAAATTCATTAATATATTATAAGAATAATTTTTAAATAATAATGTATTTATTAAATTTTTGTAATTAGATAAATAAAAAAATATTTTTTAAATAAAAAATTTATAATATCAATAAATTAGGATGTTTAGGATTTGATTATGAATTTATCACAAATTTGACAATTTTTTTGCAATTTTAGGCATGATCATGATTTTGCTAAATTTTTTGCGATTTTTATGACATTTGAATCTGATTGAATAATTAAAGTCATATAATATCACATGAAAATCTAAATTGATAATCTAAAAAAATTTTTCACGCAAAAATAGTTACATCTCATATACGTTTATCATAAAGTTCTAAATACTGAGAAAACTATATTATACAAGAAAACATATTATAGTGACATTTTTATAATGTACAAATTGATCATAAAAGAAAAGATTCTGTAGATAAACATATTAAAACAGCAAAACACATTAAAAATAAAACTAAAGGTAATAACTCGTTGTCAATTCAAAGAACTTTACCTTTATTTGAAAATACATTAAATAAAAGAGAAAAATAAATAAAGAAGTAGTGAAGGCTTTTACATATGCAGATATTTCTTTGAAAAAAATTGAGAAATTGAGATCATTTTTATTAAAGTATTGTAATAATAGTATAATATGTAATTTTATTTAATATTTTAATTTTAATTTTGAACTTATATTTATTTTATTTATTAATATATTTATTTATTTATAGGGGGCTTAATTACTGAAACAAATCTGATTAATTAATTTATCAATTAATATTAATTATATTTAAATACTATATAAACAAATATGTAAATGTAAATAAAAAAATTGATAATTATTATTTAATTAATAAAAATTTAATTTTAATAAAGTAAAATATTGTAATAATTTAGTTTAGCTCTAATTAAAATATTTTATAATAAATTTAATCTATAAATTCAATTTTAAAACTGAATTAAAACAATAATTATAACAAGTTTAATTTTAGTTTAAGAAATATTATTTATAATAAATAATATTATATTATTTATAAGATATATCTATAAAATTAAATTAATTATAGATATTATATAATGATTTTTAAATTATTATATATAGTTAATTTTATATTATCTTTAACTATTATATATTTAGAATTAAAATTGATTTGATTTTTATATTACTTAATTTTTTATTAAACCTTAATAGATAATAATAATAAGTTTAATTCTTTTATTTAGTAATATTAAATTAATATTAGGATATTATAAATTTATTTAATATAATATAATAAAAATTTATATCTAAATTTTTATTTTAATTTAATATTTATTTATTAGTAATAAGTAAAAGTAATAATAGATCATTAAAATAATTATAAGATTTTAATTTATATTTAAAAATAAATTTGATGAATTTTATTAAACAAAATAAATGGATAAATAAATATAAAGTGATATTATATTAGAATGTTTTAAAAAAAATGAATATAAATCCAATAAATTATAATAATTAGGCTTTATAATAAATTTGTAATAGATACTAAAATCCTTATAAGTAAAAAAAAAAAAATTTATATATTAAAATTAATAATAAATTATATTGTATATTATAATTAATCTAATTATATTATTATTAAGTTAAAGGTTAAGATTATATAAATATTATAATTATAAATACAAGTCTAAACTTGATATTAAAACCAAAAACTGATTTTACTAGATTTTAGTAGAATAAAAATTATATTAGAATATTAAATGATTTGATAAAATAATATGATAATCATTATGATTAAAACTATCCAAATTTGATTAAAGGTTAATTCAGATGCAATATATCTGGTTTTTAGTATATATTAGGTAGTAACCTCCATGGTGATGTAATGTGTGAATTACATTAAAACTCCACAAAAATGCAAATGGGATAAAGTGAAATCTCGGTTTATCAATCAGAAAAAAAGGGGGTGATTTGCTATTAAAATCTTGTAATGCTTCATATGTTCATTTTTAGAAATGATTGGCAAATGTGTAATCGCTTAAATAAAATCGGACTTCTTGGACGCCTCTATATGTACAATCTATTCATTCCAAAGATTACTGCTAAGCTTTTTACGATAAAAAAAAAATGAATTCATATTAAATATGAAATTTTAAAGAACAAATCAACTTTCCCTCAAATGTATCATTCGTGATACTTATACAGGTAATTCGTCCATGATTTACTTTTTTTTTTGAAACAAAATTCTTAAAAAAATGCATCAGCAAACACTAGATGAAAAAGACAAAAAAGATTGGTTAGTAATGATAAATGACAATTTCAACTTCCAAAGAATCTTTAATCCGAAAATTCAAACCATAAACGTTCTCTCTTCAATCGAGTGTAATAAACGCATGTGAAAATCATCATAATGATGTTACAAGTCATGTGTTTAATTTCCGCCCGTAAAATTAAATTGTTCCATTCGCGAAAAATTTTTATTCTTCTTTCCGAATAATTTTCAGTGCGTTCCGTATGATTTAAAAATTAATCTCTTTGGATGACAACCGGAATATATTTGATAAAAGCGTCTTGTAGATAGATTTGCAATTTCCGACCAAAAAAAATTACCAAAGTAGTAATTATAATTTAATAATATCCGAATATTTCCGTAAATAATAGACACGAAGAAAAATGCAATAAAGAATATTATCGGAATTTTTCGGAAACCTCATAATATCAAGGCAAGGGGGCGACAAATAGAAAGTCATATTAGACATCGGGGAGTGCTCATGATATCATATACAAAAAAAGATGAGAAGAAAGAATAGAAAGGTACCTATCATACGATTTTTCTTCTATCAAAATTTTTCTAGGTTTATAAACAAAAAAAGTAATGGGGCGTGGTACCTGTCATTTTTGCTAGATTATTTCTGTCTAGCATTGTGCATACAAATAATGAATAATTATGTATGGTTGTTCCCGCTCTGATGCCCTGAGAAATTCCTTTTTTTAGATAATTTTTTTATTTGGATGATGTACATTTCACTCACGAGACTCATTTAATGCAGTCATTCGAGTTTTTTTTTTTTCGGGAGTTTCCGGATGCCACATAGCCCAATAATGCAAGTGATGCAAGTAAATAAAAAAAGCAAATATAAATTATTAAATTAGTTAGTCATTATATTTTATATATCATATTAGATAATTAAAATGTATATAAGATGGAGGAGATTTACCTTTTACCTCTCCTCGAATTTTTTTTTTTTTGATTTCCTGCTTCCCTTTTCAGTTTATGCATATTAAAGGTCAAAACAAAAATCTAAATTTCAAAAGGGCACGGATAAAAAAAAAAAAAATTTCATATACATAGCTCTATAATAAAGTGTCAATCAAAACCTCGATAATACTCAAAATGTCACCTTCGAAATCATTGAATTCTAATGCTCGTACGCATTCTCTGTCTTTACAAAAGAAGGCTACTTCGCTTTCTTCGGCTCCACCATTAAAAACTCTCCCACCACAACCAAATATCTCCCAACTTGAAAATTTCGCCTTAAGTGCTTTGGCCCCTAGTATGGCTGTTGTATTTACTTTACCCTTTGACACTGTAAAAGTTAGAATGCAACTTCAAGGGGAAGTTAAATTTATGAAAGATATTACTGGAAAACCTATTCGTGTAGTTAGTGACAAGGTAAAAAATTTTTTTTTAAAAAAAAATCTCCGATTCGAATTTAGCCACGTGATTTTATGTCACAATGTGATAATAACGTCACTATTAATAACAGGTTTATAAAGGAAGTTTTGATTGTTTATGGAAAACCTTTAAATATGAAGGATTTCGTGGACTTGAAAAAGGGCTCGCTCCTTCTATTTTAAAAGAAAGTTCAAAAAACGTATTTCGCCTGGTAAGTTGAACTTAAAGTAAAAACTATAAATGATTCGCGTAAAATTTAATTAACACATAATTTGTTTTATAGGGACTTTATGATCCAATACTTTCGGTTATTCATCCTAAAGATGATTCCACTTCTTCATCATCTGCTCCTGCTTGGAAACGGATGCTTGCTGGTGGAATTTGTGGCGCCTTGGGAGCCGTATCCGCGAACCCTTTCGAACTTGTGAAAACCCGATTGCAAAGTACAGCAGCTGGTGCCATCGCAGTAGGAAATCAATATGGTTATACCTCAGTATTCTCGGCGTTACGTCATATCGTGTCTAACGAAGGAGGCGTCAGTGGTCTATATCGTGGATCCATCATATCTGTACATCGTGGCATCTTGGGTAGTGCCGCAAATCTTTCATCTTATACAATGCTGAAAGATTATGCCCTGCGGGAAGGTTATCCAGAGGGTGTTCCACTTGATATGGGTTGCAGTTTATTAAGCGCGTTTGTCAGCGTTGTTTTTATGAATCCTTTGGATGTCGTGTAAGTATTATAATAATAAAACTCGTGAATATTTAATTTTTATTAATTATTAATTATTTTTATTTTTTATTTTTTTTTTTTTTAAAAAAAAACAGGAGGACGCGTTTATATAATACCTCATCATCATTGGAAGCACGTCAACCGATCCTTTTTACGCTTAAGACAATAATAAAGAACGAAGGATGGAGATCCCTTTATAGAGGTTTTGGCACTCACTTTATGAGAATTGGGCCTCATTTCTGTTTAACATTCGTATTTTTAGAACAATTGAAGAGAGGTGTGAAACAATTTAAACTAGAAGAGTATCAGCGTAGACTTCACAAAGAGGAAATATTCTTGAAAACTTCAGAACTTAAAATTTAAGAATACCAAAAAATACCAAAAAGACACTTAATATTTTTTTACATAATAAGACGTAATAATCTCATACTTTTTACGAATATTCTTTTAATAATTTATTATAAAATTTATTCTTGTATTCACCTTAATCACCTATGTTAATAATTTCACTGTACAAATTTTTACCTTAGAAAATACATCCTATATAATTCTAGAGGAAAAAAAACACTAAGAGCTCGTGATATATAATATATTTACTTTTTAATTATAATTATAATCATCTACTGTCGTCAATAAGATAATTCGTATGTAATATTTATATTAATAAAAAAAAATCACTAAGGTTGAAATTTTGGGAAGGGATATAAGACGCGAATTATACGCGAAATCATTCTGAGACGTTTGTGTGATTGTGATAATTGAAAATAGAATTATCAGATGTTCATGATAATCTTTATTATAATTTATACATTGTGACTCATGTTGAGAAAGTCGTTGAGTCATTGTTTGTGACATAAAACATGTGCAATTTATTCCATTTTATTTATTGCATAACTGTGAACTTTTTTCGGTTCCTTTCATTCCATTTTTATTTTATTTTATTTTATTAAAATTTATTCTCGTTTCATATTAATTTCATTTTAATAAGAATTGTTCGTCATTTAAAGAAAACCCATGTGGATCACATGATGAGATATTACATATATATTGTCCAAACCAACAAAAATGTTTTATAAAATCAATTGTTTCATGTTTTGATGATTGACTCATAACATAATATAACTCGGCTGATGAAACTATAAACTGGTTATTTTCCGTATATGTTATTTTATCTCCTCATTTGAACATCATTTCCGAAAATCATAAGCCACTTTAACCGACTTTGAATTTACTATATATTCCTAATTTAAAATTTTTAAATAAATTAAATTAATAATGTAATTTTAAATAATTTATTTTTAGTCTAAAAAAAAAAATTAAAAATTAAAAATAAAACGGGTTTACTAAGAATCTAGAGGTTTTGCAGGTGGTTTAAATGGTAAAAGGTAAAACTTAGCAAAATTATATTAAAATCTTATTAAAAAATCTGCGAAATTCAAGAAAAGGTAAAACTATATAAGCTTATAAAAATGCGAAACAATCAAAATCGGTAAAAAATTAGCAAAACTAAAGTTTAGATGGTTTTGCCAAAAAATGAGTTTAGACAAGCAACCTTATATCTAAACTTTATAAAAAAATAAAACTATATCAAAATATATAAAAATAATAAATATTATCTAAAGTTTTAAATAATTTTATATATAAATACTTTTATAAAAAAAAAAATAAAGTGAATTTATAATATTTATTATTATTTTAAAATAAAATATTAATAAATATTATTTTATATCAATATTATACTATGCAAATATTTTAATAAATTAATTAAAGTTTAAATTATATTAAATGAAATATACGATAGTATGTAAAAAATATAACAATCAGAAATTAATATATAAATTAATTATTAACTTAACTTATAAGAAACATTTATTAAATATAAAAAATTTAATTAGAATTTATAAAAATCTGAATCTAATTAAAAATAAAAACTTTATTAAAATAATAACTAATATGATCTTTTAATTTTATATTATTATTTATTTTTATTTTATAATTACTTATATAAATTTAAGTAATATATTAAATTTTTCTATAATAAATAGTTATTATAAAGTTTAGTTTGCATTTTACTATCTAAAAATATGTAATTAAATAAATAAGATAAAAATATTTATTTGTTTTTTCTGATTATTAAAAAAGGTATAAATATTTTATTTATTTAATATATTTATTTTATATAAAAATAACTGTTTAATTTTTTTAAAAATAATTATGAAAAAATATTTTATTTTAATAAATCTTTATTATTTTTTTTTTAGCTAAATTATTAATAAATAAATTGATCTATTAATATAATTATATAAAAAAAATATATAATCCTTATATTACATGAAAAGTTGCCAGTTATTCTTTAACCTAATTAGGTTAAAGAATAACTGGTGACTTAGATTAGGTTATGACAATAACGTCATAATCTAATGGTAATACCATAATCTAATAAGAACATCATAGTCTAGTGGTAACATTATAATTTAATGGAGATGTTATAGTCTATTGGTAACATTATAATCTAATAGTAACATCATAATCTAATGATATAATATAATAGTAATGATATAATCTAGTGTAATAGTCTAATGGTATCTTCATAATCTACCCATCTTATTCTTTAAGTATCTTTATGAATTTCTAGTCATTGTTTTAATTATTTCCTATATATTATAGTAATGACTTCATAATCTAATGGTGAATGGTAATGCTTTAATCTAATAGTAATATCATAATTTAATGGTAACTGTTTTCTTCTCATTTTTAGCTTATTTACTTATTGGGATCTTTATTGAGGATATTAACTCTCTGCACCTGTTTAGGAGCTAGCTTTTTTATTGAGAATACTACCCCTTTATGTCAGTTTGGATGCTAGTTTTACGTTAAGAATGTGTGTCTATTTGGTTGACTTTCTAGACACTAAAATGTGATAAAAAATATCATATCAGTAACGCAGTAAATTTGCGTTTAAATTTAGCTAACACTATGGCATAATGCCAGCTGATATTTGGCATATGATTTGATAAACCCAAGTTGGTACTATAGTAGCAACCTGGTAGTACCTGAAATTCTCCTGAAACTGTCATAGAACTAATAGGAAACTAGAGAGACTTTATTAGTTTATTAGTTTCAGGTCAGCTTGAATGCCAAAATATTATACCCAAAGTTCTGGCTAAAATTAGAATAATGCTGACCAATTTTATACTGCGTTTTACTGCGCCAATTATGTGATCCTGTTACAACACTAGGCTAGTGACTAAAGATGGTTCCCATAATTATTTTCAAATTTCAATTGAGTTGCAACTTAATTACGCCATAAGGAAATTTAATTGCGTCACAAGTTGCAACTCAATTGCACTATTTTTTTTAATTGCAGTGACCATCTTTACTAGTGACAGAAACATTCTCAGAACATTTCTGAAACCTAATATATATACATTTGTGTCACATATTTTTTGTATCCATATATTTCTAAAATCTTCCTAACACTCTCGAGCTCCAGTCTGATAGTCAGTTGGTTAGTAGAGAATTGGAAGTGCAATATGTATTATCTTAGTCTGACTCATTTGATTACCAGAGTACATCATTTTGCAATCTAACTATTGCTTATTTGTTGCCGATATATTGGCAGAATGTTATAAGTACTTCTGAGGTCTAATCATGGTTCAATCTGGGTCAAAGCAATGAGTATGCTATTTTTTCTGAGTGTCTCTATGAAAATTCTCTATTCCTATAAGAAAAATTCATGAGGATACTCATAAGAATAATCTTGATATCATTTTTGGGCTTTTTAGTTTAATTTATTGAGTTCTTTATTACTTATCCCTATGTTTCTATGAGTTCCTATGAAATATAAAAGTTCTAGGAAAAAATTGAAATTTTTCTATAGTATACTACTTGGGTAAATATAATCATATATATGGTTGATATAATTGATATATGGTCGATATATAATATAAAAAAATAAAAAGGTAAAGAGTTTGGAAATTCATAGGGACTTATAGGATCATAAGAACAAGTAGTAAAAATGTCTTCTTAGAGTTCTAAAATTTCCAGTTTGCTATACTAATGATGTTCTTGTTAAGTTTTTTTACCATCCCTATAAATATTTTATAGGGCCAAATTTTTGATAAGTCATTAGGGCCAACTTATAGCATTAGGCATTTTCATTCTATCAAGAGCCTCTCCTAACGCTTCTGGAGTCTGCCAGTCCTAAAATATCTTATCCAATTTCTTCTAGTGATAATTTGCTTTCGAATAACACTTATTTACATGTAAATTATAAAACCCATATTTAGAAACTGTCAGTCTTACACATTCATCTTGTTTGCATAGAGCTCGCTGGCATCTTTTCTAGTGAAAATAATACCCTTTTGGTCGTGTACTTCTATTTTCACAAAATATCCCTTCATCAGAGGGATACTGGCAAATATATTTACCTCCTATTAATATTATTCTCAGTTAATCTTTTTGATGTCTATATTAATATTTATTTTTATTTTAAACTTTTTTGTTGGGGTATTATACTAAAACAATATATTAGATAACATATCCGAAAATTTTTACTATAACCTAATCCATACTTTTAGAGTTCTTCAACGTATCCACTCTGTACTATTGTAGGTAGTAGTATAAAAATGGACTTTTTGGCACAAAAAGCCCGAATGCCTTCAGAAGGTCATCCTGGGTATTACAAATTTCTTATATCGTATTTTACATATCAAATTCATAATGAAATATTACTTGAAAGCCTAAGATTACCAATTCACTTTCTTGGCTAGCTTTCATTCTGAAATCGCTTGTTTTCAAGTCGTAAAAAAATTTTTCTACTTTGGCACGTTCCTATCTGAAATCCCTTTGGAATCCATCTTGGGTAACATAATTTTTCACATATATGATCGCTAAACATGAAAGCAAATAGTGTTCACACTCTGCGGAGCACCGAAGGTGCGGAGCATATACACAAGATATGAAAACAAATAGTGTCCACA